TTGATTCACATTCCAGTCCCCTCCTCCGCTTCCCGTGTTGCCGAGCCTTTATTTAGGGTAATTATGGCTTTCATATTCTCAGGCTGAATTCCTCAGGAGTTGCTTAATGGCCAGCATTTGGCCAGCACCCGGAGGTTTTCTACGTATGAAAAGCTCATTTCTTTTATATAATTATGCTTTCTGTTGAAATTTTACAAATAAAACATTAATTTCAGATTAATTAAAGACTGTGCAGGTAACTACTGAGCTAGATAATGACTAGCAGGTCATGGTAATGCCCAGTCAGCCCCAAATATCCCACATGTAATTCTTTTTTTCTTTTTTCTTTTTTTTTTTTGTGGTACTGGGGTTTGAACTCAGGGCCTACACCTTGAACCACTCCACCAACCCTTTTTTTGTGCTGGGTTTTTTCAAGATAGGGGCTCTCAAACTGTTTGCCCCGGCTGACTTCGAACTGCAATCCTCCTGATCTCTGCTTCCTGAGTAGCTAAGATTATAGGCGTGAGCCACTGGTGCCTGGCCCACATCTAAATTTTTACTTATGCTATTTCTTCCAATCTACTCGCTGTAGTTTTAACTGTTTTGGGCTCTAAGTGAAGTGAATAACAATATTTTAAAAACACCTTTATTCAGCAACACTTTGTTTTGTTATTCCTCCCATGAACCAGGCAATTAATCTAAAAGTGACAGTGCCTGCCTTTTAAGAAGGTCAAGATAGAGTGGAGAAAGCAGAGCTGCAGTTGTATTGCAATCTATGTGGTAGTAGACATGCACAGAGTGCTGTGGAAACACAACAGGAAAAAGCATGCAGTGACATGCAGGATCTTTGTAAAGGTTGATCAGGGCTTTTCAGGTGGGGTGACAGCAGGCTCAGTGTAAATGGAGGTGATGAGGGAATGGCCTGGTCCATTTTATAACGGTGAGCAGTTTAGTAGAGCTACGGATCAGATGTACAGTCAAGGACAAGAGATAGGGGATGTGCAGAAAGAGGCATCCAGCGGGAAACGGCCTCTGAAAGGCATGGAAGGGGGGACAGATGGTGATAGCCCTAGATCACCATGCAAAAGCCTTGGATATCAAGAGGCCAGGTCAATCAGTGGAGGGGGCTGATGACGACAGGGTATGTATGCCCACAAAAGGATTCTTCTCCTGTCCCACTGCTCAGTTCACTGCTGCCTTGGGTTAGGCAGGTTCAGTATTTGTAGAATGTCTGGTTTGCTAAGACAAGCTAGAGATCTAAATTGTGGTAAAAAATCTCTAATTTTTAAATATCAGTAGGTAACTTATTAAAAAAAAATCTGTGAGTAAAGCAAAACAACTTAGTGACTGGATTTGGGTTCATCCCATTAGCAAGGAGATTGTTCACCTCTGTAGGCAACCAGTAGCTCAAATTTGTCATAAAATTATAAATCCTTAGTAAAACCCAGGGATACTATCATATGATCCTATATAATTAGAAGGGCAAAGCATACCAAATTTACCTTCTTTCTACATGGTAGTTTTAAGTACACTCTATGAACAATTATCAAATAAATAAAATCTTGAGATTATTCTAGCTTAGTTTACTAAACTTCCTAAACAATTCTTTTCTTTCTTTTTTTTTTTGAGACAAGATATTGATATACAGCCCAGCCTCACCTCGAACTCGAGTCTTGTCTCAGCCTCCCAAGTGCTGGAATGACAGGTGTGTACCACCTAAACAATTTTCTTCTGTACTAGTTGAAAAAAAATTAGTCTGCAAGATTAAAGAAATAGTCTATTTGTGGGACGCTAATATGATTAATGGGGAGGCCATTAGACTCAGGCAGCTCTAGCACTCTTAAGATTCTCTGCAAACAGCTAGGAAGGAAATCCTAACTCAGAGTAGAGTCATATCCCAGAAGACCAAATTTCAGTCATTCAGAAACCACCTTGTAACCTCTTAAATGGAGTTTATGGTTTGCTGTTCCATGTTAACCAATCAAATATTTTCTGTTTTGCTTCCTCAAACACCTTATAAAACTTACCATGTGTGTGAGTTGGTGAAAACCCAGACCTCTTGCAGTTTGACATGGTCTGATTCTTTAGCAGAATGCTGTTTGCTCAAAGAAATAATAAATGTTTAAGATGATGGAAATGTCTATTACACTAATTACATTGTATACATGTATTGAATTATCACACTGTACACCATAAATGTAATTGTTACATGTTAATTTAAAAAATTACAGCCATGTGTGGTGGACTGTATTCCCAGCACTTGGGAGGCTAAGACAGGAGGAAGAGAATTCAAAGGATTCAAGGCCATAGTCACTAAGGAGAGAGTGGTAGCATCAAGTAATGTAACTGAAGATGAATTTTGTTCTTTTGGTGTTTCTTCCCCAATCACAGATAGCCTGAGGACTTAGAAGAGCTTAGCCACACACCTGAAATTTCATGGGCTTCTGAGGCATTCCGCTCAGGAATTTATCAAGTTTGAGAAACCACTGCCAGGGTCGAGGAGGACAAAATCTGCAATTTTGCTGTCCTTTTCATGTTTAAGAAACATGTTCTATACTCACTACAAGTAGGCATTGTCACCAGCCCCAGAGCTGTCTCAACAACCGAGGCAGAGCTCACTCTTCAGTAAGACACAGATGCATGAACAAATAAGTAGGTCAGATGGTAATGAGGTCACTGCAGAAAACGCAAGTGTGGTCAGGGGACAGGGAGCTATGGAGGGTAGTTACCGCACGGGGTAGTCAGGGAGGTACCTCTGAAAGGGCTGAAAGGGCAGTGAACAGAAGCTAAAGATGCCTGAGGGCAGAGTCCAGGCAGAGGAAAAGAAGGAGGCCCTGTGGCCAGAGGGCAGTGAGTGAGGGTGACCCAGAGGGAAACTCTGAGAGGAGGTTAGGAGTGAGAAGACAGATACTAGAAAGTTGAGAGTTGAGCTTTAATTCTTAGGTGGGAACATATTTTTGTAGTTATTTTGAGACAGAGCCTAGCTACATCGCCCAGGCTGTCATCCAACTTCAGATCCTCTTGCCTCAGCCTTCAGAGGGCTGGGATTACAGGTATAAATCACTATACCTGACCACATACTTTGACCCAGGTTTTCAAGAACTATTTTGGTATGCTGGGCAGAGAAACCACTTTGGAGGCACCTGCAGTCATCCGGGCAAGAGATGGTGGTAGCCTGGTCCACGGTGGAGATGGAGGTGATAAGAAGTCAGGGGTTTCACGAATTCAGAAAAGATTTTCTGAAGGAATGAACAGTAGGGTGTGAGAGAAGTGACCCAAGGATGACTCAAAGTTTTCAGCTCCAGCAATGGAAAGGAAGGTGGGCATTTTGAGGTGGGGAAAACTAGGAAAGTAGCCACTAGTGACTAGGGGAGAGGGAAGCAGAACTGACTTTGGACTTATTTGGAGTCCAAATAAGATTTCAAAGAGGACACATTCAAGTTAGGAAACAGAAGGGGCTGGGATCTGATGAAGACCAAGGAGATTCCACAAAGGCTAGGGAAGGGCGGTAGGGATTATAAAATAAACCTCCTGGAAAAGTTTTAAGGTACTTCATCCATATCATTATTTTATGTCACTTATAAAGTTCTTCCACAACTGTAAAAGTATGTGGTAACATCATGTGGTAAGAAGTAGCTAACGTGTGGGCCTCAGGCAAGGGCACCAACTTCACCCATGAGCTTGTTAGAAACGAACGTCACCCTCCTCTCCCAACCCGGTGAGTCATAAACTCTGGAGATAAGGCCCCGGAAAATGTTTGGACAAGCTCTCCAGGAGATTGTCATGTACACTGAAGACTGGGTGAGCTAGATGATAAGAAGTTTAGTATGTCCAGGTTTTAAGCATTGAAAACAAGAAAAGGAATCACTTTTTTTTAAAAAAAAAAAGGGAAAAATGTCTTTATTGTTTAAAGCATAAAAAGGAATAAGCAAAAATTGCTATGACATTTCTTAGTCTTCTCAACGAAGTTATTAAAATACAATGCCATTTGGTCTTTGTAAGCTCTTGAAAATGTCTAGAAGAACACATTTCATATTATATAAAAAGGCACTTACACACAAGATGATAAAAAATAAAACCTACTCATAGATTCCCACATAAATAGGACTTTACTTTTTCTTTTTTTCCAAAACATAGTTGCATTTTCCCCATGTTCCTATAGATACCATAAATGTGGGTCTGCTGTCTCCCACCTGTGTCCTTGATACAGGTTATTACAACAGCAAGCTGCAATTAATTTGCCTGTTTTTTTTTTTTTTCCACTTTACTCTCCATTTTGTTTAATACAAAACAAAAATCTTAATTTATACCCAAGATCTTTTAGAGTACCTGGCTCATTTTCATTTTGTTTCAAATCACAATTCATTAAAAAAAATTAGAAAGACGATGATGCAAATGTGTTTTTAAAATAAAAAAGTACCTATTTTTCAGCTGCCAAAATCACCCTAAGCAACGATACTTCTGAAGCATGTGTACATGTGTGTATATTTTTAAATGGAGCTGTTGCATCGTTCTGGATTTTTGGCATGCTGAAATCACACTAACATAATCTTTGTGAGCTGTGATCACAGGTTCAGTACAACCCAAATCATTCTGTGCATTCATCTGTGATTGAAAAGGTACATGTTCTTCATGTGCTCCTAACTCCTTGTTTTCCTTTAGGTTGGCCGAGGGATAAAATAAACAATGTGCACCATAAAACTAAGTAGAAACTCATTGTCCTATGTCTCACATGCTACTTGAATTAAAATAAGTGTATTCTTGATGTGGAAATTCTGTGGTCTTGGTATTTTTGGAACTGAAAGAAACAGGAGTCAGATCAATAACTCATTCTCTACTTTTAGGATGCTGTTTTAGAAGCAAGTAAATCACTAAAGTAGTACATTAATTACTTTGGGGAATTGCCTGAACATGGTCAATCTGAAATGACTTAGCAACAAAATCCAATGATCTGGTTATTTTCCCGGCAGGAGTTGGACTATAAATAAAAACTGACATTTGAAATATGATGGGGGAAATGCAGATTCGCTTGAATGGTTTTCTCTTTATTATTGCAATCAGAACTGGTAGTGATTTAAATTAGTCCTTGACATTGATTTGTGTGCTTAAATTAGTCCTTAAATATGCCTTTTCTGTCTTTTGTTCTGTTGCTCACCCTTTGAAGAAATGCCATAGTAGTTGGCACGTGGTGTGTGGTGTGGAGTGTCTGTGCTACCTTCCTGAGAACATGCACATGTGCCCATTTATCATGATTCTGTTCACACCTTCCTAGTCAACTTTTCTGTTGGATGGCACCAAAAAGCTTGTGCTGATTTTCAAGGCAGTCTTTCAGCTTATCCTCTGTCAAAGTCAGTCGCTGCTCCAAAATTGAAACCGTCTACAAAAAAAGAGGACAAAATAATCAATGCCTGGTAACCTGGTTATTAGGACAATAATGATGATGTCTGCATAGGTGATCCTTTTCAGAACTGGGACACCAACCAAAAAATTGACTCAAAAATGGGCCCTAGCACTTGTTTTGCCTTATTGGGCCCTACCATGGGGCAAAGCACGATCAAGGAGTCTAAGGAATAAACAGAATGGATATACATGAGGAAAAGGAATATAAGAATTGTGAACTATTCTTTTTTATTTTGTAGTGATGGGGATTAAACCCAAGGCTTTGTGCATGTTGGGCAGGTGCTCTACCGCTGAGCTACACATCCCCAAGTTAAGACAATTCTTGTGTCTGATCTGGAAGCTTCAAGGCCAGGAAAGCTAAGTGGTGCCACAGGCTACCTGGAAGTGTGTGGAGTGGTGGTGGAGGGAAAATGCCATATGCCTGGCCCAGGTACTACAGAAATGTCATCACTGGTCATTCTGTCATAATCCAATCCATGGCAAACCATCCCTACAGTATGACAGACAGAGAGCCAGATCACTTTGAAGATACCATAGTGATCGCCATCAGTTCCCTCAGTCCACAGGCTGATGGGGAGGCCTGAAAAGAAGAATGCATGTGCCACTCTTCCATTAGTGCTGGGCATGCAGGGCTCAGGGGATCTTCTTTGCTCATGCTAACTCCCTCAGCATATGATTACATATACTCATTTAGAATATAAATTTTAGAAATCTAATTCTCTTGTTTCTTTTTTTTAATTATATTATTGTTGTACTGGGGTACACTGTGATATTTACAGAAGTTCTTATAATATATCATAGTTGAATTCACCCCCTCCATCCCTATTCCTGGAGTAGTTTCATTTTTCCATTTTCATACATAGCACATAATATTTCTACTACATTCAGCCTCCTTCACCCTTTCCTTATACCCTCCCCCCTCTCATTGGTACCAGCCACCAGACAGGACCTGTTTTACCTTCCTGTTCTCTGTTTGGAAAAATCTAATTTTCTGTGATATTGTTTGCCTTCGGCTTTTGTATCTTTTTTCTTTTACAATCTTTTCATTATAAACTAAAACATCAGAAAGTCACTCAAAAAGCATGTGTCACTTAATGAATTCTCATAAGAGCACTGATGGCTCATGCCTGTAATCCTAGTTACTCAGAAGGCAGAGATCGGGAGGATCATAGTTTGAAGCCAGTCTGGGCAAAATAGTTTGTGAGACCCTATCTTAAAAACACCAACACAAAAACAGGGCTGGAAAAGTTGGGCACTGATGGCTCACACACCTGTAATCCTAGCTATTCAGGAGGCAGAAATCAGGAGGATCATGGTTTGAAGCCAGACTGGGCAAATAGTTCACAAGACCCATCTCAAAAAAACCTTTCACCAAAAAAAGGGCTGGTGTAGGCCCTGAGATCAAACCCAGTCGTGCAAAAAAAAAAAGAGAAAAGAAAGAAAGAAAAAGGGTTGGCAAAGTGGCTTAAGTGGTAGAGCCATAATGCTCTGAGTTCAAACTCTAGTACCACAAAGAAAAAAAAAAAAAAAGAAAACCATCATAATAACTATCAGCCCATAAGTAGAACCTTGCTTTCTAGGGCCTCCACACTGCATGCTCTGCTCTTGCTCCGCATAGGCTCCAGTCTGACCTTTACGATCACTTTCTAATATTTTCTTATAGGTTTACTTCCCAAATGTAAATCCTGAGAAACTATAATTTCCCTTTCCCATTTTCGAGACCTGCATTACTTTTAATCTGCAGGTGTCCACCTCTTCCATCTTTTCTTGACAGCTTGTCTGTTGGCAGGCCTGTGAAGCTTCCACTAGTCTCGACTATGGGGGCTGCACACTTGGTGCAGCTTAGGCTGTTTCTCCAGCTTCTGCATATCCTGTAAATTGGCATCTGGATCCAAAGGTCTGACAGAGTTGGAGCCTATGGTAAGACTGCAGTGGTGGCTTATCCTTTCATTAGAGAGCATTTTTATGATGTTTGGTTGTTTCCATTTTAGTGATGTACAGTGACTACTCAATGCCTGGATCTATTCATTACTGGGACCGCAAATGGTAATATTCTATCATTTAAAAAATTTACTAGTTGAGATAATTTGTAAATAAGAGTTCCCTTATCTACTATTTGATTACTCAGTTGTAGAGTTCATATAGGAAAGGCAATAGAAATTCTTAGTCAACAAGTTTCAAGACAATGAATCGATTTTTCCATTATATCCTGAAGGTAACCAGTTTATTATCATTTAAAAACTTTTGCTTATGGGCTGGGGCATGGCTCACGTGGTAGTGTGCCTGCCTAGTAAGTGCAAGGCCCTGCGTTCAAACTCTAGTACTGAAAAAAAGAAAAAACTTTTGCTTTCATATTCCATAGAATAGGTCATGACTAATTAAGAGTTAACAGTGATGCTGATAAGACTTTCTGTCATTTCTTGAGTGCCTAATATGTGCTAAGCAATTTGCTAGACACTACCTACTATATTGTAGTTCCACATGCTAAAGTCAATACATATCAAAATGTTTAACACTGGTTAACTCCACTTATTCACCACCTAAAATGTAATTCAGTTTTAATTGATTCCTGATTAAAATCAGTACAGATGAACACATAAAACTTAGGTGATATAAAGTCACCTATAATTAAAGTGATCCAGAACACATTTATTTTACTACCTGCTCACAGATGCACTTGTTCCCCTTTTGCAAATGTGCTATGGCTGCTTTAATCTCTTTAATATGCAAAAGGAATCCAGTCCTTCAAATGAAAAAAAATCATATTCATTTAGCCTTGAATCATGTAAAAGGGAGAAATGGGGCATAAAATGAAGGAGTAGGGGAAGGAGAGATTTATTTGTGACAGGTTCTAATGAGGACCTGACACTGACAGGTGATAGTTTAGGTAAGAAGTCATGGAGGTATGGGAATCAGGCCAATTAAAACTAAATTGGGCATGAAATTGAGAGGGTAACTTTTTAAAAACTTTTTAGTTTTTTAGACAAGATCTCACTATGTAACCCAGGCTGGTCTTCAACTCATGATTCTCCCGACTCAGTCTCCTGAGTGCTGGGATTATAGCTGTGAACCACCATGCCCCATAGGGCAACAGTCTTTAAAGGAAAGAAATGCGTGGTAAATATAGAGAAAGTCACCAACAGCACAATATTACAAAGTGAAAATGGGTGACTTAAATATGATTTTCATTGAGCAAATCATATATGACTTCAATTCTCACATGGCTCTTTCCCACAATCTGTCAGGAGTCTGAAATTATAAACATGCCTTCAAGAAGAGCTTTCTCATGAGCTCTTGTTCTACTGACCTAACTGGGGGTGACTGGAGATGCAGAAAGGACAAAAGTTAGAAGACAGACAGGTGTGCTGGGCACTTGGATGGAGACACACAACAGCCTCGTTACTTCTTTTCTCTATTATCCTCTTCTTTTACTTTGCTTCTTTTCTCTTTCTTTAAAACCTTACTTCTAAAGTCTTTCTTCTTTTCTGTTCTTTAAAGTCTCTTGCCTTAGACTAGCTCTGCCTCATTGCTTCTTTACTTTTCTTTTACTTTGCTTCTTTTCTCTATCTTCAAAACCTTTCTTGTGAAGTCTTTCTTCTTTTCTGTTCTTTAAAGTCTCTTGCCTTAGACTCACACTGTCCCCTGTTTTCCTTAACCTCTCTTAAAGTCTTGGCCCTCAGACTTGCACTGTCCCATGTTCTTTTTAGCTTTTCTTTAGCTTAGCTTTTCTAAAGCCTATGTATAAAGTTCTCGGTGTAGAGAGCTGCTCTGGTGGAGACACACCAGCCACCAGCAGTGGTGTCAGTGGCAGCCTCACAAGCAGCCCGCAGCCAGCCAATCAAAAATCCATCAATTAATTCATCAATAATCCTTGCATCCTCCTGCAGCAAGTCTTTTATATACAGTGGTAAACAAGGAGGTGGAGCAACAGTTCTCGGGGAGGGGCATGACTTTGTAACAAGAGAAACCTGTGATCCTACTCTCTGAATGTAAACAATTTAGGAAAAGCAGTTGTGCTCCATTTTGCCTCTTGCTGTCTTCTGGGGCTGGGGCCATGCCAAACTCAGCCTATAAGCCCAACTGTGCTTATGTCAGGTTCTCATAGGTTTCTCATAATCCACTCCCCACAATGCCTCTTAACCTCAAAGTCCCTAATATGCTATCTACAGGACACAAATATGCTTTAATTAGTGTTTCTAAATACTGGCTATAAAACAGAATGCCAGCGTCTGAACAGAATGCCTGATGCCAGAGTCCTATCCCAGACCCACAGAAATAGATCCCTGCAAGGGAGACCTGGATGCATGCACGGTTTGCAGCAACTCCAATGATATAATGCACAGTGTTGGGAACTGAGTTAAGTGATTTCTGTGCAGGAACTATTTCATCTTGAAATATTTATTCTAGACAGGTAATTAACATCTCTTTCATTCACACCTTTAGCCTCTTGTTCTGTATAACTTGTGACAATGTCTGCAGGGACAAATACTGTATATAAATATTGTACACATCAAAGAACAGAAGATTACTTCAAAGGAAACACTGAATCAGCAGAGCTGGAAGAGAAACCTTTGGTGCATCCATTTCAACATACAACTTCCTTAGATTATATTTATACTTCCCAATCCAGAGTTGGAAGACTTTGGATAATTATTTAAGATCCACTACATTCCTTCTTCGAAAAAGGCAAATTGCTTCAAAGAACCAGTTATGATTCAAAACTGGGATGCAAAACCATCATCCTTGGAAGAACACTGTATCAATATAGGAAGCTTTGGAAAGAGAAGTTATATATTCGGCTGTCAGTATTTTTAGAGTAAAAAAAATTATAAGCATTGGCAATATTTCATAATAACCAGAAATGTTGACTTCCAATACACTTTTCTTATGGCCCTAAATATTTCTTTGTAAGTGGCTGGATATGAATACACACCATCACAAAGCATCACTGCTTAGAATCAGAAACATCTATAATGTGGAGCACCACTGCTGTTCTTCATAGTCCATGCTGCTTTTCTGGCTCCTCAAAGCGAGAGATAGCACAGTGTGAGTGTGCACGTGTGTGTGGGGGCATGCATGCACACCCCACACACATACATGCACATGGTCTCTGAACTTCTCCGTGAGACACTGCTTAGGGCAGCTAACCCAGCGTGCCTTGCTAATGACTGCTGCCTTGAGTTTGTCTCGCCAATGAAGAAAAATGCTCCCCTGCTCCGTGAGTTTTGCAACCTGCTGTAACCAACAGGGACTGTTTTGCCTACTTTACCCTGAGGCAAAGCACACCAACCCACCTGTGTCAGAACATTGAGCTGTTCCATAATGTGCTCTAGAGCGTCGGTCACAGCGAGAGGTACACTTCTTTGGCCCTCAGAGAGAAGGTCACTTATGTCATCTGTTTTCTTTTTCACGGTTGTTGGTGGACATTCTAGTGGCACCAAGGAAGGGTTCAAGAAATACCCACAGATGTCTTCACTCTTGTCTGGCAGAGTTCTACATGTGGTTTCCATTGTCTTTAGCATCATAGAAAAGATAGGAAGAGTTATATTTTCCAACTTTACAATGATATACGTATGTTTTAAATATTACTCTTTAAAAAATTTCAGACTATGGGGCCAGGTGTGGTGACACTCACCTATAATCCCAGTTACTTGGGGGAGGGGCAGAGACTGGAAGGATCACTGTTCAAGGCCAGTCCAGACAAAAACTTAGAGAGATCCTATTCTCAACAAAACAAGCTGGACGTAGTAACACCTGTCTGTAATGGCACATGCTTGTGGGAGATACAGGTAGGAGGACTGCAGTCCAAGACTAGCCCCAGGCAAAAAGCACAAGATCCAGTTTGGAAAATAACTAAAGCAAAAACAGGTTGGGGGCATTGCTCAAGTGGTAGAGTGCCTGCCTTAGTAAGTGGGAGGTCCTGAGTTCAAACTCCAGTATACCACCACCACCAACAACAAAAAAATTCAGACTTGCATTTAATTATTTATCCTCAAATTTATGGATATTACAATTACAATAAAGAAAAAAGCTAACAGTGAATAGAGAAAATTCATAATTTTCCTTGATTTTCTTTTCAATGAAATACACTTTGGATATGTCTGTCTGAGGGATCAGGTGCTCTACCATTAAAAAGATTATTCAATGCAATTTAATCTTTAAAAATAAACATTCATATCTATTATGATGACTATTATCCAAAAAATGGAAAATTACCATTGTTGGTGAAGCTGTGTAGAGTTTAAAACTCTTGTACACTTCCGGTAGAAGTGTAAAATGCTGCTGTGGGAAAGAGTTTGGCAATTCCTCAAGAAATTTAATCACAGAATTGCCACATGTCCCCAGCCAGCACACACAAAAAAAAAAAAAAAAAGAATTAACACATGATTCAGCAGCCCCTCTGATTATTTTACATAAACAGAGTTGTACATTTTGCTTTTTATAAAGTCTAGCTTCTTTAATTTAGCTAAAGATTTTCCAGGTTCATTTAAGTTGTGCAATGTATGAGCATTCTATTTTTTATAGGCAAATAATAATGCATAATTAGGGTATACCATATTTTATCTATTCATCATCATAGCATTTGGGTTGTTTCTTTCCATTTTCTTGGAAATTATGACCAATGCTGCTATAAACATTACATTTTTTTCCCTGAGGATATATGTTTTCACTTCTCTTGGGTTTATACCTCAGAGTGCGAGATCATATGGTAATTCTGTTTAACATTCGCAAGAACAACCAAAGTGTTTCCCAGAGTGACTATAGTTTCCAGTTTCTCTACAACATCACTAACACTTGCTATTGTCCATCTTTTTTGTTTTAGTCATCCTAGTGGGTATGAAGTAATATCAATTACAGTTTTTTTTTCTTGTATAGTGCTGGAGTTTGTACTCAGGGCTTCATGCTTGGCTGGTGCTCTATCACTCAGGCCACACCCCCAGCTCTCAGTATAGTTTTGATTTGCATTTTCCCCTCATGTCTAGTGATGGTGAGCATAATATTATGTGCTTATTGGCCATTTGTATCTCTTTGCATAAAAATCCATTCAAATCTTTCACCAATTTTTAATTATGTTATTTGTCTTTTTATTGTTGAGTTGTAAGAGTCTTTATATCTGCATACAAGTTTCTTATCAAATTTATAATTTGCAAATATTCTCTCCCATTCTGTGGGCTGTCTCATGCTTGCTTGGCAGGCACAGGCACTCTACTACTTGAGCCACTCCACTCCCCCATTTTTGTGTTGGGTATTTCAGATAGAGTCCACGATCCTCCTGATCTCCACCTCCTGAGTAGCTAGAATTATATTTTAGGCAGAGCCACGGGCACCAGGCTTTTTAATATTTTCTTGGCGATAATCTTTTAATCACATGAAAGTCTAATTTGTTTGTTTTGTTATTTGTGCTCTTAGTGTTGTATGAATGTCTAGTTCGAGATCAGGAAAATCTACTCCTATGTTTTCTTTCAAAATTTTATAGTTTGAGGTCCTTCATTTATGACCTACTTTGAATTAATTTTGTAAGTGGTATGAGGTAGGAGCCCAAATACATACTTTTAAAGGTGAGTATCTAGTTTTCCCAGAACCATCTATTGAAAAGACTATTCTTTCCTGATTAAATTGACCATAAGTGGGAAGGTTTATTATTGGTATCTCATCTTAGTCCATTGATCTGCATGATAATATCACAGTATTATTTGTTTATTTAGGTGGTGCTAGGAAATTGAACCTATGGTCTCTCACATGTCAGACAAGTTCTTTACCACTGAGCTACATCCCAGACCCATGCTGTCTTGATTAGTGTATGATGCAGTGAGTTTTGTCATTTGGAAGTGTGAGTTCTCGCCCTTTTCTTCTCAGTGTTATTTTACCTGCTCTATGTTCTTTGCATTTCCATATGAACATTGTATGACTCCATTTATACAAGATGCATGGAATAAGTAAATTCACAGAGCTGGAGAGTAGGGTGAAGGTTGCTAGGGGCTGAGAGGAAGGATAATGGAAAGTTATGGCTTAAGAGGTACAGAGTTTCTGTTTGCCATGATAAAAAGGTTCTGGAAATAAATACTGGTGATGGTTATACCACATTGTGAGTTTGTGAGTGTATTTAGTATATTTAGTGCCAGCAGTTGTACACCTACAAATGGTTAAAAAAAAGATAACTTTTGTGTCATGTACATTTTAGTGCAATAACTGACCCCTCCCGCCCCAGAATAAAAAGGAAAAAACTTCCAACCACATGGCAATAAACAATTTGACCAGGTGCCAGTAGCTCGCACCTGTAAATCCTAGCTATGTGGAAGGATGATTTCAGGAAGATCATAGTTTGAGGCCAGCCTAGGCAAAAAATTCTGGAGGCACCCATCTCCAAAATAACCAGAGCAAAATGGACCGAAGGTGTGGCTCAAATGACAGAATGCCTGCTTTGCAAGCACAAAGTCCTGAGTTCAAATCCCTGTCCCACAAAAAAAATTTAAGAAAAATAATTTCATCTGCAATAGTATCCAAAAAAGTAAAACACTTAGGAATACATTTAACAAAAGAAGTGCAATTCCAAGATGGCGGCTAGAGGGAGGAAGCAGAAAGCGTGCCTCCTATAGTGAAATCTTGGAGAGACACTGGAGACACACCTTGCAGGCAAAACCATCGAGAAGAGGCAAAACTTTGACCCCTCCACACCTCCAGCCTGCGCAGAGAATCTCTACTTCACGTTAAACAGAGAAACCAGGAGGGCCCCTGGGCCGCCAGTCATCCACACCCAGACGGCTTGGGAAGACGCGAACAAGTTTTGTTCTACTTTATGCGTCCCCTTTGATGAGACAACTATAGAACAACATCTGAGGAACCATCTCCAGGATTGGAGGCTGAGATGGACACCAAAATTATTAAGACTGAAACTTCATTGCATTTGAACTTGGAGGATTTTTTTTCTTTCTATTTTTCATTTTGTTTTATTTTATTTTATTTATATATATATATTTTTCTTTCATTTACTTATTGTTTATTTTTATTCTTAGCTTTATTCTTTTTATTTTTTATTTTCAATCCTCTCTGTCTTTCTAATGCCTGTTCAGCTTACTGTCGATTAGTACACTAATGCTCCCTGTTTATATCTTTGAAACTTTTTTGATTCTTTGTTTTGTTTTTTCCTACTTGCCTGTTTATTTGTTTTTCCCTTTTTTTTAACTGTTTTTTCTCCATTTCTCCTTCACCCTTCCATTCTAAAATACACCATTGTTATTATTACATTGTTGTTATTAAGCTAGAAAATACTTAATTGCACACAGTACAGGGACAGTAACAACACCAAGGGCAATGATGGGAAGACAGAAAAAACAGGGAAACCAGTTTCCCCTCAGCAAAAAATTAGTACAGGAACCAGAGGGGAATGAAGAAAACAGATACTCAGATCCAGTCTCCAACAAAAGGAAGATAAACTATGCCAAAGAACCCAAGGAAGCCCACAAGAATAATCTAAAAGAAGAAATACTACTGATACTCAATGAGAATTTTATAGAAATGATACTGGATATGGTCAACCAAAATGTAGAGGAGACACTCAAGAAATTCCATGACAACAAAATTGAGAATTAAAAAAAGCAAAAGAAGAAAAAAAGAAAACCATAGAAGCACTGTATAAACACCAAAGTGAAACAGAGAACACAATTAATAAAGAGATAAATGAACTCAGGACAAAAATAGAAAACATTAAAGAGGAAACCACCCAGGATATGGAAAACCTCAGAAAAAAGAACGAAACAGAACTGCAAAAAAATGGAAAGGCCAATCCAGCAGATAGAAGAAACAGAAGACAGAAATCTCAGAACGTGAAGATGGAATGGTAATTAAAGGAAAAACTGGAAGAACTATTTAAATTAAACCACTCAAGACTGTGAAAAGAAAAAGCAACAACTCACTGACCGCCATCAAAGACGCAAACCTTGAAGAAATCATGGGCATTGAAAGAAGG